TGAGGGAGAACGCCACCATGGTTGTGTTTTTATGTTGGACAATCCTTTCAAAACAATAATTGTACTTAAGAGGCAGGACCTTAGAATGTAACGTCCATCTCCAATAGGACCGAGCCACATTGGCAGAGACATTTTGAATTTTCCCAACGTCTTGTTGGAGATTCAAACCAGGGTTATCTGTTTAGTAGTCCAGCATAATGTCTATAATGAAGAAAGAAATAGATAAAATGATAGATAGAACGACTGACAGATCAATCGATAGATAGATAGATAGATAGATAGATAGATAGATAGATAGATAGATAGATAGATAGATAGATAGATAGATAGATAGATAGATAGATAAATAGATATTTTATCCAAATAGGGAACGTATATTATTATTCTATCTGGTAAATACTCTATAACACGTAATGGGGGAATATTTGCGACTTTTGCGAAACAGGATGGCAGCGAGTACAATACTGTATAACAAATGTGAAATGTTCTATTACATAAATGTCAATATATTACTCAAAATACATCGTGCGGGAAAAAAATAAGAAAAAAATAACCCCATGTATAATGTCTATAACATTACTGCGAGTAGTGAAGCTTGTCTCAAGCTGTATAAAAATAAAAAAAGGTTTTTATTATTTTTTTCAACATCCGTTAGCCTGTATAGCTTGAGAACCGATGGCCCTTAAAATAAATAGACGAATTCAATTCAATCAACATAAATTCAATCAGCAACAACATGTACTGCAGATGGAATCTTCTCGTTCTGTGTGCTCGATATTTATTGCGAGTCCCATCGAGGTTACCAATGTTCCGTTACGGTAAACGTTTCATTTGAAACGACGTATTAAGTTGCCGAACGCGGGATGTCTCCTGGGAAATATTTGCCTTGAGTGCCACCATAATTTACATCCTCTTCGTTTCTTTAAATCTCAATGCCAATTTTATGCGTCTCCGGAGTGAGACGAACGGGGGAAACAATTTCGGGCTTATATATTTGTGTCACGACATGCTGGAATCAGACGCTTGTCAGTTTTTGAGCATATTATGCTGTTATTGGTATCATCGTAAAGTCTGTTAATTTGCCTTATTATGATTTTGAAAATATCAGTCCATCTTGACTATAAGTCGAGCTATTTACGAATAAAGGAGGTGGGGTCGCCTGGTGTCAGAGGTAAAATTAGCTAGTAAATGGCCGAGAAAATCTGGTGACTTCCAAAGCTGATCAACCTTTTCCAGTAAAATTCACACAGAAATGTGTATTTAAATGGACTGCTAACTGCTAACCCCATCCCCCCCAAAAAAAACCCAACAAGAAACAAAAACAAAACAACAAAAAAACAAAAACAAAAAAATCCATAAAAATTGCCAAACGGGATATAATAATTGTTCGTTTCATAGATTTCATTATTTTGACCAGCGCCTGGTTTCACAATTATTATGGCTAACATTAGAGAACAATCTGTATAAGACAATCCCCTCTGTACAAACGATTATTACCCAATTCCTCCCTTTCACATTCTTTTTTTTTACATTATAATGACACTTTGTAAGCCGTCCACCTGTCCAAGGTTGCCACTTTTCTCCTCGACAACGAGTGGTCGTCTTAGGCAGTTTTGGCGCATTTCTGTGTTGGTCTATACCCTTTATCAAGATTTGGCTTTTTAACATTTTATTTTTAGATCATTTGTCAGTTTAACAAAGGATTGTGGGTGGTTAGCAGTTGATCTAACGTGGTTTACTCTTTCTTTCCATTTAAACATTTATCGTCCTCATTTCTCCTCTTTCTTTTTGTATTTCTAACAATTCTAATTGTTGGCACCTTTGTAACCAAATTGTATTGCAGGTGCCATAAAACGCGTACTATAACAAAAATGTTACCTTATGATTCAATACTACAAGATAGTTCAGTCGGTTATAAAATAATTCCAATCCCCTAATTCTAAGGTGGCACTACTTAGTTCCCTTTTCTTAGTACATAGTAGTCTCAGTGACTTGGTGTGTACTGCACACTGCAAACACGTTGCCTCCATACAACCGGTTGAGATTAGTTAAGAATAATAATGTACTGAATATACTGAGATCTGTATTCCTGATAAGTGCAAAGTCTGGAAATCTTCTGACCAACTCAAGTTGAATGGTATTAACACGTTCAAGTCCTCAGTCACACTACACACTCTACATATTGTAACAACTCAACCGTTACGGGGTCTGTGAGAGAGTAGTGGCGTCGATAAACCGAGATGTGGCAATGCTATGAATAATTCTATCAAGCATATAACTGCTTCACGTGTTGCTACATGTATATTCGTCATAATAAGTTCAAAGCAATTTAATCATGAAAATTTCATCGCATGAAACTGCAATGGGGGCGCAGTTACAATGTTGCCCAGATACATTAGGTGTTTTCCCATTGTCAGCTGTTTGCCATGTCTGCATCATCATCATCATCATCATCATCATCATCATCATCATCATCATCATCATCATCATCATCATCATCATCATCATCATCATCATCATCATAACCATCACCGTCACAAGATCATCATCATCACCATCATCTTCATAACCATCACCGTCACAACATCATCATCATCATCATCATCATCATTATCATCATCATCATCATCATCATCATCATCATCATCATCATCATCATCATCATCATCATCATCATAACCATCACCGTCAAAACATCATCATTGCTGCTGAAACTAATAAATAAAACAGGTATGCAAACAAACACAGATACACATGAAAATAAACAGACATTCACTCATACACACAACACACTTGACACATGGATACCAAGGTTTCTTTTGTATTTTAAAATGTGTTCTCCGTTTCGAAAATCAAGATCACCATCATCATCATCATCATCATCATCATCATCATCATCATCATCATCATCATCA